ATTTTGAGTCATGCAGTGTTTCCTTGCTCTGTTCTGATGACTGCCTCCTGGTCCAAGTATAGGTTTCACATGAGAAAAATCAGGCGTTCTGGATTCCCATTCTCAAGGGAATAATTTGTTGTGATCCACACAGTTAAATGCCTTTGCATATTCAACGAAACACAGACATTCCTCTGGTACTCTCTGGTTTCAGCCAAGATACATCCAACATTAGCTATAATATCCCTAGTACCATGGCATCTTCTAAACCCAGTCTGAACTTCTGGCAATTCTCAGTTGATGTGCTGTTCCAGTCATTTTTGGATAATCTTCAGCAGAATCTTGCTTGCATGAGATGTTAATTTCTGCACTCTGTCCTGTCACCTTTCTTTGGAATGGGAACAAATGTGGATCTCTTCCAGTCATTTGGTCAAGTGGATGTGCTCCAAATTTCTTGGCACAACTTGGGGAATGCATTCAGTGCAGGGTCTCTTTGTTGAAATAAGTCAATTAGTAAGCCATCTATTCCTGGGGCCTTGTTTTTTGCCAATTCTTTCAGAGCAGCTTGAACTTCTTCCCTCATCACTACAGGGTCTTGTTCATACATTGTTCCATGAAAGTCTTCTGTGCCAGCCAATCCTGTCTGGTACAGTGACTCTGTATACTCTTTGCATTTTTTAAATGCTTCCTGGATCATTTGATATTCTTTCCCAAACATCCTGGAGTATTGCACCTGGAGACTTGAATTTGTTCTTCAGTTCCATCTGCTTAAGATGTGCTGAGTGAGTTTGGCCTTTTTGATTTTCTGACTCCAGCTCTTTGCACATTTAATTATATAATACTTTGTCTTCTCACACTGTACTTTGAAATCTTCTGTCCAGCTCCTTAGTTTCTTGATTTCTTCCCTTTGCTTTGGCTTCTTGGTGCTCTAGTGCAACATTCAGCATCTCATCTGACATGCATCTTGGTCTTTTCTTCCTCCTCTGTCTTTGTAATGACCTTTTGCATTCTTCATAGATGAAATTCTTGATATTCTTTCACAGCTCATCTGGTCTTTGCTCATTAGTGTTCAGGCCTCAACCCTGTTCCTGAGATGGTTTTGAAATTCAAGTGGGAGAGACTCAAGGTCAAATTTTGCTTCCTGTGGATTTTGATTTCATTTTCTATCAGTTGGATATATTGTGGTCTCTTTTGCATTGTTGACATACTGGAAACTATGTAACTGGTATTTCAGATAGCAAAAGGTTTTAGTGAAGCTTCTAGAGTAACACAGAATAGGAAGCAGGACTGTCCACCCACTTCTGGA